GATTCATTTTGCAATATGATGGCAAAGAGAGTTATCAACCCCCGAGGGAGTGGAGGGGGGGGGGGGGGGGGGGGGCAGAGGTTGTAAACCATAGCCTTTGATAAGCCACCTTTGACTATAGCAGCCCTAGTCCTGAGTTATTACTGCATCATCCTGTGATCTACAACCACGGAGCGCGGTAGATTTGTGCCCACCGTCCGACCTCAGATTTATTTTCGCTGAGCAAGAGTATCTTCACTTCCTGCTGTCAGTCACAGTGCCCTCAGGATCTGTTGTCCAGACCCCGCTCACATGTTTGTACCGTTATTCAAAACTGATGACGCCTTTGTCTTGTTCAGCCGAGCCGCTGTGTGAACCAGATCGATGTGGTGTGTGAGACCATCGAGAAGACCATCAACCAGGCCGTGCAGAAGACCCTGGACCAGCTGGAGAAAGACTGTGACCTAATTTGTTCCACCATCAGCAGCAGACTGGAGCAGGACAGGTTGCTATATGTGTTGAATGCAATATAACCGGATGTAATATGACATCTGAAAGCAAATAAACCACAACACGTGTATACAGATGAGATAAGAGTCACCCAGTGTTATCTGCAGCAGAAAATGTGATATTAAAACCAGATTCCTCTGTTTGGACGCAGGGCCGACGTGACTCACAACAAAAGCGTCCGTCTTCACTCGTTCCTATGTGGCGCTCTGGGTATCTTCCTCCCCGCCCTCTTCATCCTCAGTTTCATCGTGAACACTTTCTCCCAGGAGCAGCTGGACGAGCTGCTGGGTGAAGGGCCGTCTCGGACCCTCTTTGTTTTTACAGTAAGAGTCACACAGTAACTATTTGTTACTACCTGTTCAAATCTGCCTACTCACTGTAGTGCTCCCCATTATATGTTTCATTTGTGTCCACTTGATTGTCTCCTCCATGGTTTCCTGTTTGTGTTTTTATCATGTTTTGTTGCCTATTAGCGTTTTCTTTATTTTTTAACAAATTGTACGGTGTCCTTGGGTGTCATGAAAGGCGCCTAAAAATAAAATGTATTATTATTATTATTATTATTATTTGTAAAAAAAATAAATAACATTGAAATAAAATAAAAATATATAATTTTGTTGCATAATTTGTTATTTTTCCTTGAAGTCAACTCGGTTCTCTGAATGTTTTTTCTTTGTGTCTTTCAGGGAATAATTATGTATTTATGGGACTGGATACCAGAAGATGGACAAGTACTATTTGTCATCGTTTTTGGAGCTTTTTGCTACCTACTGCTTTTCCTAGCAAAATATTTTGCAGGGTAAGTGTCACGAATATTCAATCCAAACATATTCACACGTCAAGCTGAATAATAGCTTAAAAGCAGAATAATTGATTATTAATGAGTCAATCGACAGAACACTATTTTATTACAATTCATATTGACTAATCAGGATTCTCTTTTAAAATAGAGCAAGCAATTATTTTGGTTCAACTTCTAAAATTATTTTCTGTGTTTTGTTTAAGTGCAAGTTATTTTGGGGTTAAGGGTGTTCTGATAGACCTCCAGATTTTGTGTAGAACAAAGGATTAAATCAGAAAGAAAATTGGACAAGATGCTTTTGTAGTAAAGTAGACAGTATGTAAGTCGCTTTGGATGAAAGCGTCAAGGTAAATAATATGTAATGTCATTTTGTCCAGAGGGGAACCAGGATACTTTGAATGAAACGCTAACCCTTAACCATCAGAAAAAAGTCTAAATAATTAAAGCTTTTTCAGTTTTTTCAAGGAGGGTTTGAAGTAGATTCACAACAAATATAAACACATTCTCTCAGACACAAATGCAAACACACACACACACCCAGAGGACGTTGATTGTTGATATTCTAAGCGAACATTGTTGTGATGCTCTTCATTCTCAGCCGAGGGAATAAGACTCTGACGAAGAAGGAGAAGAGGACGATGGCAGAGTACAGCGATTACATCCAGGATATCGTCAAAACTAAGAAGGTGAGTTTATTTTTGTGCCATTGTGTCATATTTAGTAAAAAAATAATAGCTGCAGTTATACCATGTGTAATTAATATGTATAATGCAGAAGGTTTTTTTTGTAAATCAGACAAAAACTATAACCAGACTATAACCCAGAAATGTTTTGAGTCCATTTTTTCAGTTTCTTTTTTCATAATTTAGGTTTTATTTTAATGATCATTGCTGACTGCCATCATTTTACCACTATCCATAAAGTGTTAATATTCAGTTAATATCAGTTACAAAAGAAATACAATCGGTAATGCTGCATTACATGCTGCACCATTTCCTGTGAATCCCATGTGCTTAGAAAGGCAAGTTTAGTCCGGCACAGGAATGGCAGACTAGCTTGTAATAAAACAACCCACAGAAATGTATTTACCAAATGGAAATGCATTGAATGACTTTTACAAAAAACAAAACAAAAACAGTAGTAGTATTCAGATTTCATGAATAGTTTAGATGAACCGCTTTTTGCTTAATTTAAAAACAAAAACAGTCATTTGAATCTAAACCCAGTTCATTTTGCTCCACAGGGGAAACTGTATGATTGGTACCTGCAGCAGTGTGCCGCAGAGTCTGACTTCTGACCCCGGGTAAGCTGAATCCGTTTTCTAAACAGATGATCATCAGCCAGGTGATCGGGTGTGTCTCTTCTCAGTGTGTAGCCTCTCAATGCAGCAGATATCACTGCCAACATGTGTCATCTCAAGAGCTTCGATCAAAGATTAAGTGCCTTTTTTAATCAGTACAGGAAAAGCTGGGATTGATGTTGTTTGATATAAACACATCTTTTATAATGTGAATCGATTTTTATTTCCTCAACTTTTCTAGTACAATGAAAAGCTGATGACAGCAGGTAATGTTTACAAACTTTTTTAATTACTTCAGAGTAAATTCGATATTTTTTATGATGCCCTGTGTGAACTTAAGCTCTCATGTAGCACCGTCCTGAAGTCTGTCATGTGTCTTAACAAAGTACTATAATGTTGTGCACTTAGTAATACTACAATTAGCAATGCTGTGATTACACTTGGGAATTTTGATCGGACATTTTCTCAAATATTTTCATACCAATAAGCCTCCAAAGTTGTTCTATCCTACTGTTAGATGTTTGTTTTGTTGTGTCGTTTGTGAAGCCTTCAGTTACCTTCAGAATGTTTTCACATACAGTAAACCATGGGAGATCTGTGATTTAGGTACTTTGATGTAAATGAGCACTGAACCCTTCATGTTTTTATAGATCTGTGCAACCTAAATCTAGTTTTATCATTATACCATGTGATGCCTTTACTCCAGTGTTAATAGATCTTTTATAATCTTTAAGGTGCTTTTACCCAAATAATTTAGAAAAAGCTCTGGGGGCTGTTTGCAATATCATTGTGAACACTGTCAGTTTGTATTATGTGTTAGAAACCTCACAGGTATCCTCATTCTGAAGGACAATCTTTGTTTATGCATACATCCGTGTGAAACATGTGCAACAACTTGTGTGTGTAAGTTGATCTATTCTGTGCCATTTTTGAAAAAATATTTGTATTGTATGAAAAAGTGGCTCAACAAACTAGAATGCTTTTTGATAAAACTCATTGAATTCTCATAATCCTGCAAACGATTAAACATTTTTCTACTGAATTTGACTCTCCTGTCCATTTACTGTTCTCCTGGTTATAATAAGGTGAATAATGCACACATGAACCACAGGTGGAGTAACATGGAGAAACATAACGTTTTGTAAAGCAGTGAGTAGTTGGAAGACTTTTATTTAAAAGTTTAGTTATAAAAATGGCCTTCCAGTCTTCACTGTAGAACGATGCTTTGAAAACGCTGAATTGACAAGTGTTACATCAGCACAGCAGGATGTAATCACCCATCCGCTTCACACCCATCACAAGCAGCTCTGAATGAACATTACATTACAATAAGTGGGGGGAAAAGCAACACATTAATTTCTGATTATTTTGTAAGACAACAATCCTCAGTTCCCTGAGTAAGTAACAAAGAATATCCCAGTAGACATGCTGCTATAAAAAACAACTATTGGATTTGCTAAAGGGGAGATTCTCTATAAAGTACATTAATCTATGGTGCAAGCACTACTATGTGATCAAAGTATGATTATTTAAATGTAATTTGTGCAATTTACTACAGTAGCAAGGAAACCAATAAAGGATGTTGTAAACCTAAAGATTATCATTAATTATGAATGAAAGCAGTGTGAGTTAGTGAGTCTGTTAAAGCTGCATTCAGGGGTTTTATGGAGCACATTTCTTAGCACATTTGAGCTTTATTTTGCTGTTGCAACTAGATAGAACATCTCTGTTTAGGGGATTATTTTTAAACTCTTGTTATAGTAAACTATAGCATGCAGATCTAAGGCCTGTATGCAAGCATACAGCCAACGCTTTTCTTTAAAACTTAGAAAATTCAGTTAAAATTGTATGTCCTTAGTTTGTTACAGTGCATTCAGGATTACAGCTATATACAATGTTATTTGTACAAAAAAATGCCAATGCCCGTCCCTGGCTTCTTATAAACAAAGTGTACAAGTAGTTACATCTTGCATCAGCCCAGAGGCCGAATCCAATATTGATTTGTTTGTGAAACGTTACAGCATCGTCAAAAAGGAGCCAACACAGCGATCCAGTGTCTTCAGACAGTGTAGGCTCCATCTGTCACGTTAAAGTGTCTCTCAGGAACAAAAGCAGGTTTCAGTGTCGTCCTCAGGGAAGTGTGTCTCCAACAGACACGGTCCTGTCCCCTGTGTGTGTGTGTGTGTGTGTGTGTGTGTGTGTGTGTGTGTGTGTGTGTGTGTGTGTGTGTGTGTGTGTGTGTGTGTGTGTGTGTGTGTGTGTGTGTGTGTGTGTGTGTGTGTGTGTGTGTGTGTGTGTGTGTGTGTGTGTGTGTGTGTGTGTGTGTGTGTGTGTGTGTGTGTGTGTGTGTGTGTGTGTGTGTGTGTGTGTGTGTGTGTGTGTGTGTGTGTGTGTGTGTGTGTGTGTGTGTCCATACTGAGATAGCTGCTCAGTGTCTCAGCACCAGTAGTGTCCATAGTGAAGTCTCCAGTCCTTCAGATGTGAAGTCATTGAGAGCCTTTGTCAGTCAGCCAAGAAATGTCTCCAGTCCTGCAAACCACCAAAAACAACCGTCAGACACACTCACACACATGTTTATCAAGTCCCTACATATGATCAATCGGGTAACATTTTAAATAGAACATGCTCGTATTTGTCCGTACTTGCCAAGCCTTGGAAAACATCCTTCACATTTTGAGTTTGCATTATTAGAAATGAAAGACACAGGAGATATGAAGAACACTACAGTCATATTAGACCAAAAACACAGCGACAAACAGACAGAAATATATGCAAAACATTTAAGTAATGCTGCACCTGTGTCACTTATTGTTACAGGTCAGGTTTGAAAATAATATACACATTTAATAACAAAAGGAATAAAGTTCCTTTAAATGTCACAATAATAATAGGGGAATTATTTGAATGATTGCCTCTTTTAGTCAGCACACAGAGAGTGAAGTGGTTCATTTTCAAATTCAATTTAGTTTAACCCTTCCTCCCAAATTTAGAATTTATAAGCATTATATTAATATATGGTTAAATATTTCAACTCACTTTTATGCAGTTCTAAATATAAGCTGGTATTGGTTGACAATTGTTGACAGAAACATTAATGAACACTTTAAAAGGTTTTTCATATATGTGACTGACAGTGTTATAAAGTGGTTATTGTTTTAACAGCAATTCCTTCAGATTATAAGCTTTACACAACTATGTACTAAGTACAGCATTTCCTATTCGAGATAAAGTAGTGGGTAACATATAGTGTCGAAACTCTGTCTACTCTACTTTCCCTATGATAACTTGTATAGTACTTATGACAGCTTGTGTTGTTTTTCTACAGTACTGAAGTAGCCATAGTTTTTATAATACTTTTCATGTGATTGAAATCACAAGCTCTGCGACTCCATGTGTTTTCCTGTCTGAGTGATAACATTTGTCAAGTTTTTCTTCACAGTGAAACCTGAGAAACCTAAAGAACATAACAGCTATTGTAACCGGCAACAGATTTAAGTCTTGAAAGGAGACTTACTCCACATCTCGTTTCTTAATCGTCTTTCCGGATCCTAAGACCTCTGCCACTCGGGATACAATGGGATCATAGTTCATGCTGGCAACAGCAACCACCTCCTCACTCCTGTAGATGGACCAGGGGAGGAAAACAATAAGAAAATAGATGTGGAATCACAATTAAAGACTACAATAGGAGTTTAAACCAAATCTACAATTATTGTTTATTTAAGAATCTTACGCACCTGGTGTAAAACGCCACAAATCTCAGTTCATCCAGATCACCTTGTATAATGACATCATCGAATCCTTCACCATACCCTTCACAAATAAAAAATACATATGTATGTGTCTGTCGTCAACAGCAAAAAGAAAAACAGGTGCAATTCAAACTCTCAGTTTAAGGTCTTAATTTGTATTTTTACAGCTAGATGGCAGTGTGGTTACTACACAGCTATTTTTCAACCTCTGATCTCTTACAACATGTCTGACTTATAATACCACTCTTAATACTTCATTCTTTACCTGCATAGCGAATGGTCTTCCCAAACATGGCTGACCAGAAGTAAGGCACAGTTTTGATCTCAGCGGCTCTGCCCATCATGCTGAGAGCCGCCGCCCTTCCTGTCAGCATGAAACATTAAAAGCTTGTCTTAAAGAATTCATCATAACAGTAACGTATTACAGCCTTTGATACGCAGTCAGGAGGACACACTCACCGTGTACATGAGCCATTTGCCAGTGAGGGATGTTCACCTTCTTGTTGTTGCGCGGCGGGAAAGGAAACACCACCACATCTCCTCCAGCGTAGACCCCATCAGCACTTGTCTGCATCATCTGAGAGAAGCAGTTTAGAGGAGTAAATTAACATCATGGGACAACGCTTATTCACGAAGACTAAAGGCTTTTTACGCCATACCTTGTTGACGGTGATGAAGCCCCTGGAGTCCATGTGGATGCCGCCCTGTTTCAGGAAGTCGGTTGCAGGAATACTTCCTGAGACACACAAGAGAACACAGGTTGAATATGCAGCTGCTGTCACACATAAAAAGGGAGTTCTGGCATCTGTTTTGGTCACTAGTGTAGATAATGATAACCGGATTAAAAAGGAACATATTTCATCCTCTTTGACCTCACCTGCTCCGATGACACACACGTCTGCTCGCAGGACTTTACCACTCTTCAGGGCCACCTCTTTCAGCTGTGTGCACAGGAAAAACAAAATGTCCAGGCCATGTACTGTATATGCATAATGCTACATTAACAGCTTTGACACTTCCTTTCAGGAGTTTACTCTTAATGCCACTAAAAACCTTTTCTGACCACTTACTAAGAGTAAGGGGGGGATGCGAGACATCAACTTGAACTTTGGAAACTGGCATGGACTATGTTTACTCTTTTTCAGACATTTTGTAGATCAAATGAATAATGAATAATCTAGAAAACAATAAGAAGATATATTAATGATTAAAACAACTCTCAGTTGCAGCCCTAACAGCATGTGATTCCAGCCTGAGAGTTTTGAAGCATTTCAATCAAAATCTTACATTAATTTGATTGTGAAACTCTTTAAAGTGTTAATTTAGTTGCTCATTTAGTGGTTTTATTTTTTACAGAAATACTTTTGCAGCACCTTCTAAGGAGTTTTAAATCTGACACACACTCATCTTCATCGTGGATTAACCATGAGAGGGTAGTGCTGCTGAGCATCATGTCATGCTGTTTCTCTCACTTTCTGAATACCTGTCCGTGTTGGCCAACCATCTCCGACACCTCGTTCAGCATGTAGAACTTCACCCTGTTTACCTCGAACAGCTGCAGACAAAACACAACACTTTTACCGTGGGAAAACACTAACAGCAAGATGGCTGAATTAAGTAATGCATTAAAACATTTAGGCTCTCTCTTGTGGTTACTGGGGTATTGACTAGACATTTTCAATATGTGATTTGCATTTAAACTAGTGAGATGTTTTCCCTTCCCTAAGAGAATAACTATGGGTTTGTTAAGGTGCTTTTAGATTTTTGCAGGTCTCCCTTGAAAAAGAGATCGTTGATCTCAATGGGATTTTTTAACCTGGTTAAATAAAGGCTACAAACAAACGAGTTCCTACCTTCATTATGGCTTTCCCTACTTTCTCCCCGAGAGCATGTTTAAAGGGAACTGTCTCGATCCCGATGACAGAGACCGAGTGAGCTTTGTCAGAGAGAGCTGCAGCCACCTCCATACCTGCAAACACAACACAGTTCATATAGCAAGTGATGCACAATGATACAGAAGAATCGGAGGGATGAAACCCTCTTTAATGGTCACACATGCAGAGCACACAGCACACACAGTGACATTTGGCCTCTGCATTTAACCCATCCAGGAGTCTAGTACTAGGAGTAGTGCGCAGCTATTGCACAGCGCCCAGGGAGCATGGGAGTGGGGGGGATGTCCGGTGCCTTGCTCAAGGGCACCACGGCAGGGCAGGAGGTGAACTGGGACCTCTCCAAGTAGCAGTCCACACTCCATATTTTAGGTCTGGTCGGGGACTTGAACCGGCGACCCTATGGCTCGCAGTCCAAGCCCCTACTGACTGAGCCACTGCCGCCAAACAAATGTATAAATGTGTGGAGAAACATGTCAGATTCTCCATGCAGGGCATCAGGGTCACTGAATGAGAATGGAAATTATGTTAACTGTGAATTATAGCTTTGACATTCACCGGGGATAGTCAAACTGATACAAGTGAAATATTAAACTTAAGTTAAAGTTAACATTTTCAAACTTTTTCTGCAAACTTAAGATAGTATGGCTGCAGTACGGCAAGAAATTACAAACAGTCTTTGAATGATTGTACAAAATGTACATGTTTCTCTGACTCTGAATTGTCTTCCCTGTTACTGTTTGGTTTCCATTTGATCCATTTTGTATTTATTTTAATTCAATCTATATGTGATTATATTAGCTTAATTGAGTAATGTGAAATGTAGGGATTTATTTAAAGCAATGGGGCAAATAGGGTTAAGGTTAGGTAATGGTCATTCCTTGTCTCTGGTTGGCTGTTCACACATGTGATTAATCATGTGATAAGGTAAAAGGTTACTTTTACACTTGACTGTAAGTCGAAACAAGTCACTTAATAAATGTGTTTTGCTCTGACTTACTTAATTTTGAGCCCAGATCTCATGGACCCACCTACTAATTTTGTTATTATTATTTTCCCGTGAATCTATCACAGTCAGCAAACATTTGAAGATTGTGTATTTTTCTCACCGACAAACGATGTCCCCACAATCACAGCGTTCTTGTTGTTGGCCAGCCTCGCTATGCTGTTGGCGTCATCAGGCGTCCTGAGGTGGAACACGTTCTCGACATCCTGTCCTTTGTAGATCATTGTTTTGGGTCTTTGGAAGCAATCAGCTGTCAGTTTTTTTATTTATAATCTCAGCTGCTTAATTATGATGTGAAATAGCAGTTTGTTTCTTACTTGCTTCCTGTAGCAATAAAGAGTTTCTTGTACTCCATCCTCAAGCCATCTTCAAATATCACAGATCGTGTTTTCACGTCTATCGCCACAGCCTAAAGAAAACATGGCAGGGTAATGCAGGTTATTGTGTTGGATTTGTGCTAAAATTGCCAAAGATCGATTTAGATGTTACAAAATAATATATTGGTCATCCTATCTCACCTCTTTCTCTGTGAGCAGTTCAATGTCATGATCTTGTAGGAATTCCACAGAGCGCAATCTCAGCTGCTCTGCCGTGCTTTCTAAAGACTAAGGGTCAGCAAGTTAGTTAATCAATCAAATCATTCAATTAAATTAAACAAAATTCAAGAAGAAATCTTTCCATAAGAAATCTTTCCAAAAGCTTTACATCGGTTATCAGCCAATTAACAAAATGTATCTTTAATCTCCTGCACGGCAATGAAACATTGAACTCTTTGTTGTTGTGTAACTGTTTCCCAGAGAGCTCTTGTTTCCTCTACAGCACCTCTGCAGTCTGTCACGCAACATTTTGGCTCCAATTATGTCACGTGTTATGTGTTCAAGGTCTGTGTACAAACCTTACTCAGTTTAGGCCTGTCATATGGAGGATGTCTGTCCATGGTGCACATGACGATGCGGTCGGTGAAGCCCTCTTGCCTTAGTGTCTCTGCACATACCAGAGCTGCTGGACCTGCGGATAAGGTAACCATAAAAGAGGAGGATAATATTGAAAAACAGACATTGAAGGACGATGCTGCTAATAACAGTCTAAAAGAGCTTGATTTGTTGTACGCGGGAGAAAAACACGCTGACCTGAGCCAATGATGAGAACATGGCTGAAACCCGTGTTGGAGTTAATAACTGCTGAGCATCGGGACATCGGCTTTGACCTTTTCTGTGACTGAAGAGCCTGAAAATGTATTTAAAAAGAACTCAGATCAGTCAGATGGCCAACGTCCAATTCTGCATAAATTCTCTTCATCCTTTCTCTTGTTACCTGCTTGTTTGCACGAATGATCACCTTGTCCTTTTCAACTCTGACCTGAAGCAAACAAACATGAATGATGTGCACACTTTTTTATGGTGCTCAGAGACATGATAAGGCAGAGAATGTGTAAAGAGACGGCACCGGCGGGGAAGGTCACCTGGAAGATCGGCAGGCTGTCCAGCCCGGGGAAGTCCTCGAGGTCTCCTGTTGCGATGTTGAAACATGCACCGTGCCACGGACAGCGCACATGCCCTTTTGACAACACACCTGCAAGGGAAGATCTTAATAAGTCAAGCTTATAAGAAATAAATTGTTGTTAAAATCATACCCGAAAAAAATATATATAACTCACCTTTGACCAGAGGTGCTCCGTAGTGTGGACACTTGTGGGCGATGGCAGAGAACTCCCCATGTTCTTTGATCAACAAAGCTCTGCCACTTCCCAAATCCACCTCTCGCATCCTGCCACACACACACAAAAAGTTGCACCTTGTTATTTTAAGGAAATACATACCCCTTTTGAAAGTTGTAAAAAAACGACACATCAAAAGATGCATCACTATTTAAACATAGCAAGGACACATCAGGAGCCAACTTTGTCCCCACCTCTTTGCATTAGGATAATTTCTTTTTCACTTTGATTAACATTTGTGTCATTAACATCATAGTACACAACAGCTTCTCTACCTCTGTGTTTTGGTTGTAAACAAAAAAGAGCTGTTGTTTAATTTTCTTACTGTCCGTTTTCCAGATCTTTAACATGACAGACGGAGGCCTCCACATAGTCCCGTGGTTTGTGGTAGAGGGGGAGCGGGGTGGAGTCGTCATCAGAGCCGTGTCCCAGGGCCCCGTTGGGTCTGGAGTCGGCAAAGGGACTCGCTTTGCCGTTTGGTGACAGCCCGTCCACCTCTTTTTCTTTTTCCAGGAGAGAGAGTTCCACTTTGACTTCAACTGCACAACACACACATCGACTATTTTAGAAAATGCATGATTAAACACATGTAGCACATTCACACTGATCACAGTAAATTAGACAAACACAGTACAATCCATCACCAAATTACCCTTTTGACGTACAACCAAAAGGATTGCTTGATATTCTGAGCACATCTTAATTTCCTTGAACTTCAGAACAAAAAGTTTGCAGTGTTGAATAGAGCAATGGAAAGAAATGGAAAGATCTCTGACTGCATGGCTCAATCTTTGCGGGTGTTCCAGAGAGGTAAAGAGAGGAAGGATAATATCATTCTCTGTTGATCTGTTTACTCTTATTCGATTACCTGGAAAGACCCTACTTGTACATCAGGATTCTCTTCCTCCACTTCAGTTCGTCCTTCAAACCCTTCATTGCCAACATGCTCGTGTCCAAATTCCAGTCTGGGCCTGAACACAGCTATTTGGTACTGAACTCTGGATTTTCTGTCAAAACTGTGCCCAGAGTGTCAGGTTAGGAAAGCATACATCCTCCAACCCCACCCAGAAATATGGTGTTCCGCAGGGCTGTGTGCTTAGCCCACTCCTGTTTGCCCTCTTCACCCATGAACGTAACAGTATCCACGCAACAAATAACATTATAAAATGTGCAAACAACACGCCAGTCATGTATCTAATCTATAACAGTGATAGGTCAGACATAACTCACCCTTCCCACCTTTCAAACCTAGTCACCTCTGGCAAACGATACAGGACAATACACGTACACGACTGAAGAATGGCTTCCTCCCCAACCTAATGCCATCATCTGTTCAACATTAAATAAACATGTATCTAAGTAATATACTCATATTGGCAGACTCCATTACCCGTGCATTGAAGTATTGTTCTTGTGTACCTGCCCTGCTATTTCCATCCTTAACCTTTGCTTTGGAAGAGGAATTTGCGTTTCAGCGAGGAGAGACGTCAATAACTTTGGGACAAATTGAGAGCGACATCTCCACAACTGAAACAAATGACTGCAGGAAGCATGCTGAAGGGAGATGTGAGTAAGGGAGAAACTTGCCTCCTTTATTTTATTTTCCCTTTTACCATCTAGTGAGTATAAGGCTATTTTTACAAAGCCGAAGATATGATGCAGAAAAACCTTGAAAGGGAAGAGACAGGTAACACTGCCACTAATTTCGAAAACAAATCCTTCACCTCTGAATCAGTCTATAATAAGTAAGCTGCAAAACATACTTTGACAGGATTACAATGCGTTAAATAATGATATTTCCATAATTAAAGTGAAATAAACAACCCAGCAGTTTGTTTTTGTCGTTCTTATTTTGTTCTGCCTGAAAACAGGCTATAACAGAGTACATTTGTTGGGAGATATTGTCCTTTGAATACATATGATGCGCTGCTTGATTGAGCTTGATTTATGTTTCTTAACATTAAACAATGGTTGTGTAATTCCCTTTTCACTGCAGCAGGCTGTATCTGTTCGGCTGGAAAAATGTGCTGATCATCCGGTTCTTACACAGTAATCTGGCAGGAATTTTATCCTGCTGAGCAAGCCTTAATTAAAATCAATGGAAAATCGTAATAGTGGGTGCAATTGCAGAGAAAAGAAAGAGAAAGCTTTCCACAGCTGAAGAGAATCTCTGGATGCTGCTGGATCTGATGCTAAATGAAACATCGCCACACTGATGCTGCAGTTCCGCAGTTATAAAAAGTTCCCTGATGTGGAACATGTATCAAAATATGTTCTGTAAATTGTAATATTAATGTCTCTGTATGTTATCCTCCTGACCAAAGATGCCACAGAGAGCATTTAAATTCCTCCCACACAAAACACTTTGGTGCAAGCAGAGGAGGCAGGATGCATGCATAACAGGATTTGGAGGCGGGATAGCTCTGAAATTCAATATGAAAAAAACATATTTATTTAAAACAAATAGCTGGTCCCTCGTGGAAAACAGTGCGTTATTCATTTATATATTTCAAAACAAACACTTTAAAATATTACGCAATCCTGTAAAACAACAGCACAAAGCACTGCCATGGAGGGAATTTCAGCCCCTTAAGAGTCAATTTAAACAATAATTCATCATAACAACTTGTTGTGTTGCAGAACATCAGACTGTAAGATGCTGCTCTTGTTTTGTCCTCCCCCTGTAGGGGAGCGGACTGTTAGGAACACCTTTTTTCAGTCGTTTTTCAGCACCTGAACAAGTTATAATGGTGCTTGTTTGCTGAACGTTTTCTTTCAAAGTCCAGTAACCTGCCTCTGATTGAGATAGGGGAACATGTCCGTTACCTGGTTTGGGTTTGGAGAAGCATCCTCCCATGGTGGGCCCAGGAGTGAGGGACACCCAGGGGGAGGGAGGTGCGTCAGATCCTCGGGCTGGGCTGCTTGGTTGGGAAGTAACGATAACACGGAGCTGTGTGTAAGAGATCCTGCAGGTCCAGACTGGCCATCGCACACATCAGCTGCTCCTCATAATCTGCACGAACAGAGGGAAACACATGACACTCAGACAGACGGATCAGATATGATGCTTTGAAAATAAATAACAGGTCTTTTTGCTGAATTGACTTTTTGACTGCTTCAAGTTTCAAATTGTAGCTTTTAATTTACAATTTTGTCTTTCAAATTGTCAATTTTGTGTAGTTTATTACAGACAGTGATTGTAAAGTGTCTTAAGGAGTCAAGATTAGACCAGATTTGTTCATGCATATTGCATGGGTAACCGTTAAATATTAACAGCTCTCTAACACCTATTAACTTTCTTGTCACACTGCACTCTTAAAGGCAAGAAGGGGCCCCTTGAGTTTTAAAATCCCCCTTGTTGTGTTGCCACGTTGCCCTTACATTTCTGCTAGCTCTGGTATTTCCCCCACACATACAGTAGTTAGTCACAGAGCGCTGGCTGCTATGAATCTGAGTGGATGGCAGGTGAATCGCTCAACCCGCTGCAATCCATCACCAAATTATCCTTTTGAGGTACAACCAAAGGACTGCTTGATATTCTGAGCACATCTTAATGTCCTTGAACTTCAGGGAAAAAAAGTGTGCAGTGTTGAATAGAGCACTGGAAAGAAATGGAAAAGATCTCCGACTGCATGGCTCAAACTCTGCAGCTGAGAGTGAGTTGTATTGTATTTGTTTGCAGGGTGAAAGTACTGTACTAAAGTATAATACTAAGGTAATTGCAATATTTTCATTAAAAAAACGTATTACTGAACTCAATTTATTTGACGGCTATAGTTATAAGACACTTAAGACCTATTACTAAAAACAATGTGTAGTTTGGGCCCCTTATGGTATTCCAGAAATCTATGTTTTCTCTCCTTCACCTCTAATTAATCATCACATGACCCCTCAGAGTGATTGACACTGGACCTAAATACCTGACTGTATCTTATAACTAGCTCCACCTGCTACAAGAGTAAAACTGATGCATTAGGTATCATCCAAACAATAATCTTGAACAGAAATATATATAGTCACAGGGCTATTTTTTATTTAGAACAAATGCTTTTGCTTTTGATACTTGTAGTATGTGTTGCTGCTTAACACCATTGCACTTTGAATTAAGTAGAATTTTGATCCATTGTTGTGTTTGTACTTTTTTACATGACATTACATGTTACACGCTTTTATCCAAAGCGACTTACATACTCGATACTGTGGGCAATCCCCACAGGAGCAATTTGGGGTGAAGTGTCTTGCCCAGGGACACAACGACATGCTGACTGCAGTGGGGTTTGAACCTGTGCTCCCCTGATCCGAACACCAACACACTAGTCCACTGCGCCACACGCCTCCTCCTCCTACTTAAAGGTGGGGTAGGTAATTTTGGAGAAACCAGCTCGAGTGCGCTAGAATTTGAAAATACACAGCCGGAAAAAATCTGCCACTTCCTGATAGAGCCCCTCCTCCAACACACACGAACGCGCACATGACCAATGAGAGCACAAGATAAGTTTGTGCACAGATGGAAGGCTGACAGGCAGGTAGGCCATCCAGTTATTTTAGCCGGCTGTTATTTACAGTACTACGGCTTCCACAGATGAATTTTTTTAATGGATTTTTTGTCAAAGCACTTAAGATATTCATTGCTATCGGGATGTTAAGAGCATTCCATGGAATATAACAAAAAGTGTATCTCGAGCCGGTTTCTCAAACTTACCTACCCCACCTTTAAGTGAAGTATTTTACAACGTCTTCAATGTTTGTTTGAGACATATTTCCCTATACAAGTTGTTGTTGGAAGTAATGTTAAGTAAAAAAAACTACAGCTGATGATGATTTTTGGCCATAAAATCAAGTCAGATTTTCCAAATTGTGATTTCATGTCTTTTTAGTCTTAATTCAAGCGCTAAGCATCCAAATATCTGAGCCAAGCCCTGACAATATCCTGCATTAAGTTGACAGCCGTGCCTAAACAGCAGAGCCTTTGATGTTGTGTGTTTCCCTGAACACACAGAGCAACATATTCAAACTCCACTCTCACATGTTGCCACTTTAATAATTTGTCACCACTTAAAATGTGATGAACAACCAATTGGATTGGAAAGAACATCATGGAGTTCCAACAAGCCACCAAGATATTTTGTGCGAAACTAAAGTAGGTTAAGCAGATTTGGTCCCCACAACATATGACGCAGATCCCGCTCTCTCACTGTTGGGCCTGTCCCCATGCAGTGCTAATAATCCTGCCTGCAAACAAGCTGTCAGTTTCACTCACTTCCCTACAAATGTAATAGCTGTTACTGGAATGCTAGAGGGGAGAATTAGCAAAAAGCGTTGGTGGCGGGAGGTCGATTTATAAACTGGGGTTGAAAAAAAGCAGGAATGTTGAGCAGCAAAGCACCCGCCATCATTCATAACTGGCCTAAACCTTCAACAAATGCATTCTACAACAGCAAACTGTGATTTCATTGAGGAACGTGGTCAACAATGATTAACATATAAAAACTGGACTTGCAGGATCACCTGAATTAAAGAAGAGCTGCTGGTTCAGTGGCTCATTCACCTCCAAACTGGTCTCTGTTTTATTCAAACACTCGCTTGACAGGTATGTTGGCCAGCAGTTAACGATTAGGTGTCTCTGATCCTCAGCTGATAAAGGACAACACCTGCACTCTTAATATTTTACCACACCTCTTTACCCCCCTCATTAGCAGGGGGGGTTTGTGAAAGACAAAGATAATCATTCCCTGATTGTGTAAAAGTCAACGGGTGAACAAAAGTTATCTCTCACCACGGTCTTAGTGGTTATCTATTTGTTTGACGTCAGCTTAAGGAACATACAAGTGGTGAAGTGTTAGGTTCTTTGAAATATAATACAAATCATATTTCTGCATTTCTTATTTTGATTGTTCACAGTTGAAGTAGAAACTGAAGGGTTTACTTTTGAAGTAAATTGAGTCATCAGATTTTCTCCCCAAAGTGCCAAGACGTTTTTGATGTATTTCTATTTACTCCATTGCCTACATGTCCTAATTATAATAGAACATAGTGGATTACAGTTAATCACATTCCCCATTAAGAAGCTCAGGTCATTTTCGACCACGTTTCTCCAAATGCTTGTACTGTTTGTGTATTGTAAAATTGGTAGTTGTTATTGCCATTTCAGAGACAGGAGAGCTGACAGCAGATTAATAAAGTCCCAAGCAGTATTTAAAGTGTGCTTTCTGTCTGCATAAACAAGACAAAACAAACTTTTGGTGTTTAGTATAATATAAATATGCCACGTGGATCTAGAAAACAATGATTAGACAGCATTCTTTCAGCATTGTTTACTGTCAAAGCGGTTCAATGAGGAGAATACGTTTGCATTACTCTCAATTTTTTCTTTCAAAGTTGACCCCCACTTTACACTCTGTATATTATATATTGTTGTGTAAAGCTAAAGCTGGTGAACAATGCATGGCACCGCAGTTGTTTATCAGGTCATTTTCTGCTGCTTTGAGCGATAACATCTCCATGATGTCATGGAAAACTAGAATTGTGGTTTTCAGAGGGGTGTACACCCCCACAGAGGAGCTGTGTTTCCATAAAGCAATTCTGCTATTGACCGGTTTCTCAGCATGCACACAAAAACTAAAACATACACATAATCAATAAAAAACATAAAATAATGTAAGTTTTGCAGTGTTATATTGGATTCTCATCCAGTTTTCTAAATAGTTATTGATGTACTAACTATTAAAACAGCCCTGATGTACTGATCCAACAAAAATGAATATAGTTTGTGTTTCTGGTTTCAGTTTTAATAGTGCACCACTCCATGGTTCTCCAAGTAAGATCTGGTCAGTACTGTATGTACCCATGGTGCACAAATGCAGGCAGAATAAGTCTGACTTTACACAGAGCATCACACAAACATATAATGATGGGAACTAATAAAACAGAGCTATATTTCCCTGACTCATAAGAAATGAAGCTTACCAGTGTGCATGGAGCAGGTGCAGTGATCCAGTCAAACTCCCCGGTGCTCAGCTTCCCTTGTGGAGCACGGTAGCATATTAGCACATGAGTCTCCTAACAATCCTGTCCACTGGAGTATTCCCAGTCTGTGCGTCCCTCTGTACCCTCCTCCGGCTCTCCTCTGCCTCTTGATGCAGCAGAGACTGAAGTGAGTGTGTGTGTGTGTGTGTGTGTGTGTGTGTGTGTGTGTGTGTGTGTGTGTGTGTGTGTGTGTGTGTGTGTGTGTGTGTGTGTGTGTGAGTGTGTGAGTGTATGAGTATGTGTGTGCCCCTCGCAGAGCCCCCCTCCAGAAGCAGACTGAGCAGACCGGTCGTGGGAGTCTCTCTCTTTCTCTGGCCGAGCCTGTAAATGCAGCACGGAGGACCTCTGCCAGTTTCTCAGCTGTATGCAGTATTGATGGAGTTGCTGAGGGGATGCTAACACAGCATGAATTCTCACCGTCCTCCTCACCCCTCCAAAACACACACACACACACACACACACACACGCACACACACACACACACACACACACACACACACACACACACACACACACACACACACACACACACACACACACACACACACACACACACACACACACACACACACACACACACACACACACACACACACACACACACACACACACACACACACACACACACACACACACACACTCTCCTAGAGGCTGCCTGCTTTTCTGCCCTTTTCAGCCTCGTCCTCAGATGTCAAAGACCTGACTTGCCAGTTAAGCTTGATCAAAGACCTGCTCCCCCCCTCACACACACACTTAACTGCACTGCCTAGTTGGACTGCCCACTTATCATACTGTCTATCCATGCATTGTGTGCTACTGTTAAAACTTACTAGAGTGATATTTACTCTATGATGCCAGGAGACATACAAAGTGCAGATTGCTGCAAACTATCAAACACTCTTATACGTGTGCTACTTTTCTTTCAGTGTGCAACAATGGGAGAAATCGTTGGGAGAAGTGCAGTTGGTGCAGTAAGTCCCAGTCAGGGGGGGGGGGGGGGGGGGGGTAGGTGGAGCAGGATTAAAAAGGTATACTGAGTATATTTCCATTCCTTATACTCTCACTGTGGGAGTTAATGTACCTCCCTTTCAAATAACTGCAGGGACAAGGTCACCCACCTGAAGGTATCAGATCCATGTCTGTGGAAATTACAGCAGCATTGACACAGGGACATGATTTGGATGCAGCATGAACAACCCTAATAGTTTTTAAAATATTGTTCAAATATTTGTTTGAAACAATAGACATTTATCAGATGTATTCAAGCTACATGGAGTGGTTGTATTTCTACAGTGTGCTGACAGCTGACACGTGCACATGTGCTCCAGTGTCAGTGTGTTTGTGTTGCTCTCTGCATGTGTTCAAGCACATGTAAAAACAATGCAGTGGAAGCCGGGGCGGGCGGTGTGCACATGTACAACAAGATGAGTGATCGGCGTCACACAGGGGGGCACTGATGTATCACTCTGTTTAATTGAATTACAAGGAGACTCTCTTCTGCTGCGTCCGGAGAAAGCTGCAGTATCAACAAACTCAGGGAGAGAAGTGAAATGAATCATTAATAGGCTGAAATGTAAAGATCATGGCCTGCCAAAACATTAATGTCAGGATTTATTAAGGAGGATTCTACCTGACCGTTAGTTTATCTTAACAGAGTGCGTCTCTTAGGCAAATCAGCACGTCAAACCTTAGTATCTAAACATGCTTGGACATGTTAGTCGATGAAATAAGAAGGTTGTTGCAAATATACATTTGTTTGGGAAGTAATGAGCGTAAGACTGACAAGTTCTGTGAGAATTTGTAACAGATGTTTTGAAATGGTTGAATTGCTGTCAAACACGGTCCCAGATTTACTTGAAGTCATCAAGATTTTTCTTTTTTTCCCCAACATTTCAAGGTCAAGTTATTAATGTACAAATTGATCATTTGAGGGTGTGGTATTCCATTACAGTCGAGACACTCTTCATAGAAACTGGTCTCTCTCTCTAGAATCATATATATTAAACTACTGGGTTATAATTGTTATGCAATAATGTGTTCATCACATCTGGTAAATGTGGAGCTATACTTACTTAATTACTTATTACTCACTGCTGGAGATTTTAACATATAATTATACATCTTAGTTTGTTTTTTTGTTTATTTATATTTTGTATAAGCTAATGATCTGAATTGTAAATAAAACATTTTAAGCAAGGTACAAGTAGCCAAAAATCATACTTAAGTATAATATTACATCACTACATTACACCACTGATAACTATTCTCAAAACATTTAAAACACATGTCAAGATCAGTTTCTAATCATCACTATGTATGCAGAGCAGTAATCCAACACCAAGTAATGTATTAAGGACTGAGAGAAGCTGCTGGGGCTGAGCCTCCCCTCCCTGAAACGAAATGTAACACAGAAGAGCTCCAGCCCTGGAATGCAACCCCGGCTAAACTATTCACTCCTCCCGGCAGCGACTCGGAGACACTGTGCACCACCATGTTGCACATTAATGTATTTTCATTATATGATCAGAGTTGAAGTAATACACTGACTCGTTGGGCTGGAGAGAAGCCAGTTTGCTTAGTTACTGCTGTCTTTATATACTTTCCAAAGGACTTTAGATGTAGGTAACAGTGCCACTAATGACGTAAACGTATTGTTTATTCATTTATAAGCTAGAATGATGAAAGATTTATCCAACAGATAAATAGATACTGTATGGAAATGAAAAGTTATGTGAAAACTTGTATTTTCTGTGTTTCTCATGTGAAGCCTGTATTTCGAATATAAACGCAGTACCACAACATTTTCATGTGATCAGAAAACAATAGTAACATTGATTTGGTCAATTGAAAGAAGTGCTGTGATTAAATAAATTGTCGATCAATCTGGGAATTAAATTCTTATGTAACAAAAAGTTTTATGTGCAGCAGGAAATATTGCCATACTGTCTTATTTTTGCCGTGTCTGTGGACTTTAAAGAAATACTGCAGTTGCTTATTATGAGACATTACTTTAATAGTAGTAAAACTTGATGAGGTCAACTCATAATAACCCAGAAACAGAGATTACATGAATGTGTTACAATTTGATTCAGAAATTAACAATTAAACACATGCAGCTTTTAGGTCACTTAGGTCAGAAATGTTTCCTGAACAAAAATTCACAATTAATGTCATTATGCCATCACTCTGCAAGCTGACGGGCCTATGGAGTATATTGTGTGAATGGCAATAAGAATCTATAACATCTCTGTCTTCTGGTAGTGCCTTGTCCTGTGCTTTGCCTGCGGGCTGCGTGGCTCACTTGGTGGCATCTGTTCATAGTCCCCCATGCACACAGCCACAAAGAACAGAGTCCCTCCGATGATCAGAGCAAGACCTCCAAACCATCCCGAGAACATCGCCTCGCCGTATTCCCAGCGTGGCATCACATCGGGAAAACCCTCGTCCCAGAACTCCACCACAGTTGTGTAGGCCACGAGAGAGACGGGAGCCAAAGTGGTGAGCCCGGACACCCAGGAAAGCACCCCGCTGAAGACAAGGAGCAGCCTCTTCACGCTGGGCTGCCCAACACACATGTCCACCCCCTCCAGCGCTGGGAAGGCAGCCAGGACAGATAAACCTCCAGTGACTATGGACACCGACATGAGCACCCTGGAGACCTGCAGGTCCATCGGCAGCCCCATGATGGAGTCGTAGGCCTTACACTGAATTCCCACCTCCTCTGTGTAAAGACAGGTGTGCCACAGTCCAGAAAACCAGTTCTCCACTTCGTTCAGGTCGGAGTTCATCGTCTTCCAAAATGGCAGGAAGGTGGTGATCAGAGATGTGACCAAACCCCCAAACGTCACAAAGAGTGCAGTCCTTTGCATCACTTTGGTTGTTAGAAAAACCATCTTCTGCCCTTCTGAATCCTGCTCAGGTGTATGCAACAGGCTGGGAGATCCAGAGTGGCTGTTTGGCCCGTCCCACCTGCTGAGGTTCAGGACCAACCGGGCCAGCCCACTTATTCAGCCTCCTCAGTAAATGGGAGATAATCCGGGGCTGTGGCATGACAACAGACATTCTGTTATTTTTTCAGTGTTCAATATTATCACAGGGAACAATGAACTCTGTTGATGAAACCAAATATGTCCAGCGGGGATCTGGACTGTGTGCGCGCACCAGCAGACTTAAATGAATGAAACATGAGCAAGCTGGGCATGGGACTGGGAGGTGCACAGGAAACAAGAAGACCTATAAGCTACTCCAGAAAGAGCTATAATGTCCTGTTTCTGTGAAATTCAGTCCATCTTATCAACATGTAATTATTTCAGATGAGTTGTTCCACTGATGTCACAGATGAGACTAGGGAATTAATTTGTTTAAGACATTAATACTCGTTCAAGCTTTTGATTTGCCAAGTGTATCAAGTATCTGGACTATGAATAGCACTTTGTACTCACTGCAACGCTACTTACAACCGAGTCCAAAAGAGTCCAACACTTTGTGAATTCCTGTGAGGGTCTTTACAGATCCTGCAGTACAACTGGCAGCTGAGAGAAAATTCAATCTACTGCCTCAACAATTAGGTCAACCTTTATTCTCAATCCCAAGACTAGAATCTATTACATAACATATACAAAATAAATGGTAAAAAACGTATTCTTTCCTGCAATCATTCAATTTTATTTAAATCACACTTAACCCTATAGTTTAGGGATGGCCTGATTGTCTTGACTATTGTGAAAAGACAAGCATTTTAAATACATTTGAAAGGGAGGTAAAGTTTACATTCATTAAATAGAATTAGTCTATTTTACTTTAAAGGGGACCTATCATGCAAAATGCACTTTTGTACGTCTTTTATACATGAATATGTGTCCCCGGTGTTCCAGGGAACTCACCAAGTGTCAGAAAACACAACCCTCTCTATTTTCCTCCATACCCAAATCTCTAAAAAAGGGGCTGCAACGGATCTGATAAAAACTGATCCAGATTTGAACACTGTCCTGACGTCAGGACGGTGGCGCTACGGCTATTGGGCCAACTCCACCAATCAGGAGGAGACAGCCACGGCCATTGCCGTTCGAAAGCGCTGGAGACGCTGTAGTACATATGCCAGGCCTGTAGATGGTGCTGTTCTCACATCAGCCCTTGCTAAAACAGGGATAAAAAAGTGCAAATTGTGCAAAATGAGGCATGGCTAAAATGCATGATCTGTTTGGTATTTTGAAAAAAAAAAAGTATAAATATGCCTTATATAGGTATGGTCCTACACTATATTATTCAAATATAGCATGATAGGTCCACTTTAAATTAGCTCTTGAGAAACTCAAAGTCTTTCTAATTGCAAAATATTGCTGGAGCCAAATGAGTTCCCCCTCTCAAAACAAGGAGCATTGTCTGACCTTATCATCCATAGATCTGTGGAAACTGAAACCGCTGAAGGACGTGGCTAATTTGATGAAGGATTAACCTTCAGTTTTCTTCACATATTGAACAGGTTACAATGGCTTTAGTTTATGGCGAAGGTCTGTGAAAGAACTTTCTATTTGTTCAATAGAAGTATAACTATTGTTATAAAATGTATTTGTATATACTCCACTGTGAGTCTTTGAGAAGAAACTGTATAATTTTGTGATTTGAATTTTTGACTTGGAGACTGGTTTTAATCTAAACTATCATAAATTAAACAAATCACTGAGCAAGTATAGTCTGACTGCATATCAAGAACGAGAGAACATCCTCAGTTCTGCAGTTTAGCCTGAGCAGAAACAGCGTAGTTTCCAGAGAAGCTCTTTGTTTGGGAGAGGCAGTATTGAAATGCATTTTAAAGAGGATTTCAGTCTGTGTCCATTATATTTATGATGACAGTCTTATACCCATTGCAGGGCATGATGACACGCCAAACCCTTATTTAATACACAGGATCACTTAAAGGTGGGGTAGGTCATTCACTTCAGAAACACTTTTTGTTATATTCCATGGAATGCTCTTAACATCCCGATAGCAATAAACTAGACCAATTATTTTCACCGGCCCGGCTAAAATAACTGGATGGCCTACCTGCCTGTCAGCCTTGCATCTGTGCACAAATTTATCTCGTGCCCTCATTGGTCATGTGCGCGTTCGTGTGTGTTGGAGGAGGGGCTCTGTAAGGAAGTCTGAAGGAAGTGGCAGATTTTTTTCGGCTGCGTACTTTCAAATTCTAGCGCACTCGAGCTGGTTTCTCCATTCTTACCTACCCTACCTTTAAATGTTCAAATTCATGCAATTCTAAAGCATTTGGAGTTTTTCCAGCTCATTACAGGTATGGTTAATTACACATGTATACACAGTAAACTTATACACTTAATTATTTTACTTCATCCTATTATATCAGATGATACTCTGTTATAATCAACTAAAGTTATCAATGCATAAAGTGTCACTTGTTTATAATACATTTGATTATAATACATTTGAGTTGACGCAGTTAAGAGTAGTAAGTAACAAATGAAATACTGGGCTTCATACGGGACAAATCATCTATCTTTTACCAGTGTACATTTTATCAAATCAAATCAAATCAAGTTTTATTTATATAGCACATTTAAAAGCGATTTTTGGTCGAGCCAAAGTGCTGTGCATGTAATAAAAACACATTACTACAATCACAATAAAAGACAATAATTTACAACAGAAATATAAAAAACAAAAACACAGGGAATAGTCAGGTGTCATGCTCCGCTCTGACTAGAAGGCCAGGGAGAAGAAGTGAGTCTTTAAAAAACCCTAGTGTCTGGGCAGACCTCACATGGAGGGGCAGACTATTCCATTTATTATTTATTCATAATGACGAAGGATGCGTGTGCCATAACTTGAATACCATAAGATTGTTGACTCAAAACTGACAGATAGTCATATTGTGGCCTAATCATTAATGGATGGATATCAAGTCAGTTCCACAGAGACTCAGATCAACACAACCTTTTCTGTATAAGATTTATTAAGGCTTTAAATACATGAAACCCATGTCGGTAAATATTTAATAACAGCATACTGATGTCACTAGATACACATTGCTCTATTGAGACAGCTCGTCTGTTAGTAAATGTAAGAGATGATTAGTATTACAAAGATGTGTGCCGAGGACAACAACAACAAACTAAACAAATAGCTTTATGACAAAGGTACGTTCTAATTATTTTCCAGATCATGATTTTGATTCCTTACAACATTTAGTCCAGGCTTGTCAACAGAGTCAGAGTTGAGAATAATACAAGTGATGAATACAGATTTATAGATAAATAATCCATCTATATATACTCTGATCAAGTTGCATTAGGATGACGAGAGAACTAGCAGATAACAGCGAGCGCAATACTTGAACCTGTCTAGTGTCACAAGTAAGACTCATTTCAGTCCACTGCATATCTATAAAAAACTGCAGCAGCAATACTGAGCAGTATAAACCCCTGCAAACATTTTCTTCTGTAATACAAAATAAATAAATTACAAACTAAACATAAAAAAGGGAATTTATAGACAATTTAACAAAATAGAACCGAATGTGGTGTCTCTCCTCTTTAAGAGTAAAAACGATTTGATACAGCATGGATAATTGCCATCTACTGTATGTGGGTTAAGTCATACAAGGGTCAACATAAAGAAAAGTACTGCGGATGGGAAGAGGGAATGGCTAGAAGTAGGTGGAGCGGTGATGTATGGCTTCTGCGAGAGGAGAAAAGAGCCCGGCTCTCGGCGTCATCCTAAATGTCGGAGCCCATCTCGGCACACTGTTTGTCCGATATGTGTGTAGCTAGAGACTCAATGATGTCCAACAGCAGCAGCTGGCTGAGAGACCGCAGGTTGGGGAGCTTGGATACCTTTGGGAGGGGAGGAGAGCAAAGAAATGAAAAAAAATGAGCCATAAATTAAGACCAGACAATGAGCCAAACAGAGTCAAATCAGGAAAAAGCAGCAATTGGTTGATTGCTCGTGCAGGGAAAAAAACAGATAAACAGAAAGAAGCAGAAACATTAACAATAGAGCTAACACTGCAGTGAAGCAGGGTGAGAATTAGCTGCTTCGCTGTTTCTTTGAATAACAAACAATAATCAGAGTCGCACTATGACCCTCGTCGCTATGTGAGGAGGTGCTTGTACAGCCGGCCAAACTGTAAACAGTCTCCTCTCGACGCAGAAGGTGGAGGGTGATCCACCAGCAGGTCAGAGGTGTCGTCTCCCGCTGAGAAGCAGAGCCTACAGGGTTAGCTCAGCTGCAGAGAGTGGGCAGCAAACCCCTAGGGCCCCGGATACAAGCCCACCCACCTTAATGAACTGGTGGACAATAATGTGCAGGCAGTGCTTCTTCATGTCCAGAGCCTGGGTCTTATCAGCTGCCTCCAGAATCTGAAGGTTTGAGAGAGAAGGGAGAGAGTAAATGATTTGCTGTGCAGAAAGGAATTGCTTTAAAAACAACATTTTCAAGTAGGTCACTCGTCCTTCCCGGGGGGGAAACAAATACCTGCAAGACGTTCTCCACCGTGACGTTCATCTCCAGGTTCTGCTTGCAGTAAGCCTGCAGCCTGTTGTTGGAAAACCCGTAGTAATATGGTGCAGCAAACAGATAGCTGTTTATCACAGGTTAAGGAAGAATCAAATGTTCATCTGTGTGTTACATTTAAGTGAAACTGTTTCTGAGTTTAACTTTGCACAAAACCTTCATTTGAATTTAGACAGTAGAGTTTTTGCAGCCTTAAAACAAGCTTTACCACTGGACATTAACACAGCAAAAGACTTATATCTTGGTTTGTGAATACACATTACATGTTACTTGTTAGACGCTTTTATCCAAAGCGACTTACATACTCAATACTGTGGGCAATCCCCACAGGAGCAATTTGGGGTGAAGTGTCTTGCCCAGGGACACAACGACATGCTGACTGCAGTGGGGTTTCAACCTGATCCGAACACATACACTTTTAAAAGCTTTTTATATTCTTTCATTACCATCATGGTTAAAAAGATGGTAATGAAAGAATATAAAAAGCTATTAAAAGTGTATGTGTATTCACAAATGTAAACCAAGATATATTCCTCTCATGGGATATACCTCAAATGAACCAGTTTTTTAGTCTTACACCCATAATCCTGAAGAAGTGTGCTTTGAGAGAGTTTCCTGATTGACAGGTCTCTCAGCTTATCACATGACATTCTCTGCCTACCTTTGCTCCACCTCTTTTAATAATTTCTTCTCATTAAACTTGATATAGATGTTTACATTGCTGTCACTACGCTGGGCTCTGCCTGGAAAACATCTTAATCATGTAAAGGAAAATATAGGAGTCTGAGTTTGAGAAGGATACAGGGAGTCCTCTGGAGGCATGTTGACGTCTCCGTAGTAGATATAACGCAGCATGGACTCAAAGGCCTGCTTACTCGGCACCATCTCACCGATGGAGATGTTCACCTGACCGTCGACGGGCATGAAGGAGCGGAACATCGCCTCGAAGTAACTGAGAAGAGAACACATGAAAAGCGTCAGACAAGACTCCAGATGAAATGAAACAAGATGTCTCCAAAGGCAATGATAAGAACATATTATCACCTGTAAAATGTTTTTTGCAATATGCAGTTCTTGTTGGTCCCTAGTTTACTTTCTAATCTACAAAGTATAATATATAAAAAAGTATGGAGTAATACAGATTTTATAATATAAATCGGTTGAGATATGAAATTCATATTTGAACTTTGGATCACAGCACAAACTCAAATGACAGAAAGATTCCTCACACATTTCAAACATTTCTAAAAAAGCGTTAAAACTGTCTTATTAAAACTTTAAAGATAGCCCTTTTTTACAAGTTTGTGTTAAAACTTCTTGAGGGTGAATGGGATGTTTTGTCTTCTCTTTACAGTAACAGGAAGCTTAAAGCAATTAAAACCCACTCAGTTTTAGAGCAAGACAATAAAGCCTACACCAAAATGTCCCAACAGACAGGTTCCTGATACCGTCTCTAGCTGCTGTAGTGCACAGAGCAGATCCTGGACCCTTGGCTGTCTCTACCTGGATCGGGCTGCCAGTATGGCTTTATGAGCAGGTCGTGGGTGTCCGTCTAACAGCAGCACGATGTCGCAGAACTCCAGGCCGCCTCCCTCCAGGTACGCCTTCATGTCCTGCACCAGGGACGTCCCGATGTCCACAGGCTGGTCTGAGTACAGCCTGAGAGGAGACTGCTGCTTCCGTCGCACAATCTCCACAATCAGGGGGGTGGACAGGCGCTCAAACTCCTTCGTCATGATCACCTGGTTGAAGTGGGACTCCTTCACCACAAAATTAAGGCAATGTTCCTTGAGGAAGAATAAAACATGTCCGGATGAGTCATAAGAGCGAGAGTAGATGATATAAATAAGAAAGGAAATACAGCAATTATTCTACTGAAGGCACTCTGAACTTCAACCACTGGAGGGCAGTAGAAAGGACATTTTCAGCTGTGTTTCATAGTTATCCAGATGTACCTTGAGTTGGTCCAGTTGCAGCTTGTTTGCGTTTTCACAAACACTGAGAACGTTCTGCAGGTCGACAGATGCCTCGATGTACTGCACACACAGCTGCTCCAGGCGGGAAAGCTGGAAACTAAGGGCCAGTTTGTACACATCCATTATTAGGAGAACATCCTGGACATGACCTATTGGAAAGAAACAAGGAAAGGACAAATCATCAGTGTGTTCTTGTCAGGCTACAATCTAAAGGCTGATAGACAGGTGGATCAGAAAGAGACGGTACCTCTGCGTGGGTACTGGATCTTGTCCGTGTAGAGGAACTGCATTAAGACTTCAAACGGCTGGGCCTCTGCTTCCCTGATGCATACCTCTAGCATCGGCCTGTTGCCTGCTGGGAAATCCCTCGGGGCTCCTGTTGCCCCATCGTCACTTTCTTCGCCGTTGTCCTGTTTATTTTTCTGCAGATTATGTAACACTTGGTTTAACATTCAGGCAGAGGTTCCTCTATAGCAGTGACCTGCTGCTGTTACAACTTGATATTATACAGACAGCTAATGTTTAATAAAAGACAGATTTTTCTTTCTGGACATAAAACATAAATGCATTTTGATGGTAAAGGTAGGTTTGGGTAAAATATGTTTTAATATTTAATTACAAATTCTTTAGCTTATAGTGATTGGTTCTTTATTGTTACGCCCCATTTTTGATGTACTTTATGTGTTCATACTCGGGAAATCCTGAATGCTAGAAATGATCTCAAGTGGCAGTTATTATATTTGTGAGACAAACAATCAAAGTGGCATTTATATTGTTATGTGATAGTGTGGCAAAGGTGTATTATTTGGAAAGCTAATTTCACTCTTCTGCTTCTCTTTGCTGTTTGACACCAGAATGAAGATTATAGGAGCTGGGAGTTTTGTCAATATGATATCATTACTGTAATATCAGAGGAAAGATATGATAGTTATCATTTCATGACAATGCGTTTGTGTTTTCCTTATCTTCCTGTCAGTGTGATTAAATTATGTTTCATGTGTCTTAATCTCTTCGGACAGAACCAAAGGGTTCCCTTCGTCTCAGAGGAAATGATACTTGCTCTGACCTGTCGCTGCCTATCCCAAGCCTGCAGGATTTTCTTCCGCAGCCACTGACATCTTGCCGTCACTATGGCGATATGCCCCAAGACTTTCTCCGCCCTCTGTTAAAACACAACAAGGAGTCAAACAGACGGAAAAATCATTATAGTTGGATGATGATAATGTCACCATGTCGTGTTAATAAGCCGTTTAAAAGCTTACAAACCCACCTCGCCCAGAATAAACTCCACATCACAGAACTGACGATTCTCAAACAGTTTGCCATAGTCTTCATGGAGAGTACACTGTGGGTAGCAGGAGAACTGCGAGAAGAAGAAATAAAAGTCAAGACATAGAGCACTTTTAAAGCTAGCCTCCAAAAAAGCTTGACAGTTGAATTATCCAAAGGTTATGATCTTTTTCTTCAGGCATTAAAGGTCCCATGACATGGCCATTTCTACTGATCATAATTCCATTGTTGAGGTATACTAAAATAAATGTATATTGTGCAATTTTCCAAAATGACATTGGTTTCTCTGTAAAGTATGTGTATTCCCTCTCTGTCCTAAACGGCTTGTTGGAGCTCCTGCCCCCCCCCCTCGCTGTGAGCCCAGTGGCCGTCTGCGAGACAGCGAGACACAGCGAAACCCAGCCCGAAACACACACACCCGCAGCCTGGCTGGGAGTTTGTGTGTGTGCTCAGGCTGAGTTCCGCGGTGTCTCGCTGTCTCGCCGACCCCACACCAGTGAGCCAGCAACGTCCCGCCGAGTGTGTGTGTGTGTGTGTGTGTGTGAGGAAGTCCGTGGATTGGTCAAAACATAACGGGTCCGCGGACGTAACGTAACGACTAAATTTGGACCAAGCTGCGGAGCCGTTACGTTACGTCACTATACCCGAAATACGTCCCTATACCCAAGAAGTAAACAATGGAAAAAGAGAAATCTCCAACAAGGCGTTCTGGGGCAGCATAGACAGGTCTTTTCTGTGTTAGAGTTTCACTCACAGGGTGTACTTTGAGGATTTGTGACTCTGCAGACCGTTTACATGCAGAAAAAGCTACATAACACACAAGGGGGCGGGTAATAACCAGAAAAGCATGACATGGGACCTTTAAAGCCTTTTGATCAGGTGCTTGTATATTCCAACGCTCACCTGGAATCTGTACATCTCCCCGCTGCGCACATTGTTGTCCACAGTTCCTCCAAAAATGTACATGGCATCTTGAATCACAGCAGCAGCATGGAAGAGTCTACCACTGGGCATCTGAGAGGATAGAGCAAGAGCAAGGAGATTGTTCAAAATAGGAGGGAGAATCGCACAAACAGGGCGTCACTAAAAGGAGCACCCACATTGTTGTGATCAACACTGACTCTGCTTCAAAGGAGTCGTGACACTTCATACAAACACCAGGGTTTCACAAAATTCAAATATTCACAATAAAATGAAGAATGTCCCGTACAATGTTGAATGAGGAGTAGAGGAACTCAAAAATAAAAAAAGACAGTACTCACACATTCACTGGAATACTGTGTCTAAACAGAAGGGGTTACATTAAACAAGAGTCATGAAAATAGGGATGGTAATTAAGCACCAACATGTTATTTTTCTTATTTTTAATTATTATTGCACTTATATTTTCTATTGACACAGATCTTTTAAATCCATCGTGTTCATACCTCACTGTCCATGCTGGGATGGATCACCTCCCAGCTCTGAGAGTCCACATCGTAGGAGTGCAGTTCGTTGGGTAAAGTGTTGTCAGCCGCACCTCCAAATACATACAGGTGGCGATCAAAGGCAACCATAGTGTGGCCGTAACGTCTCTGCGGAGGGGGAGGGGAGCCTCGCAGGAGGTGTTCGGTCGGGATGCGTGTCCACCTGATAAGATTGATTAATGGTTGGTCCAATTAAAAAAACTACAGGGGGAGTGACTGAGGTGAGTCGTAGCTAAGGGTGTACTCACATGTGGCCCTTGAACTCAAACTGGAAGAGGTTGTTGGTGATCTTGGCTCCACTCTGACCAGAAAACACAAACATCTTGTTCCTGCATACGGCTACAGGGAAGTTGCAGCACGAAGGAGGAATCTCACCACTCTGTTCGATCTGATGGCACAAAGGCAGAGACTTTAACACATACTGTACAGTGATGGGAAACTTTATTGTTCTTTCTGTCATAATATATTATACTTGCCTCCTCCCAACACGCATGTTCTCGATCTTGCAGATTGATGGTCCACATGTCATTCAGCCTGAACAAGGGGGAAATGTCTGTCAATATTATATGCAAAAAAGGAGTTTTGTAAATTGTGAAAAACACTAATAATATGTTAAACATACCTAGCATTTCCATCATAGCCAGCAAATATCCACAGTTTATCACTATAGACCGTGGCCCCATGTGCAGACCGTGCCACTGGCAAGCTGAAACAGAGATAAAGGACATTAGGGCTGAATTCTGAGATTGAATATGCTTAGTTTTAGGGTATCACATAGATGTAATGCCCCCAAACATTTCAAAATAGCTGTGTTTCCAGGTGTAAGAAAGACACTACTCCCAGCAATTTAAGGTTAACAAGGTCATCTTGCACTGAGGACAGTTAACATTTAGCCTTAATTATAGAAACTGAACCACAGACACATGGAGAGGGAACACAAAAAAAATCAGCAACTGTCTTTGAAAAAAGAAAAATAATAATATATCATAAAAACACAACTTGATCATATTAGAAAATACTAAACAGTACCTCCCCTCCACTTTCCATTCAGTCCACTGCCCTGTTGCAAACTTGTATTCAAAAAGGTCATTTTTGTTTTTCAGGTTTGAGTTTGAGTAGATGTCTCCGGTGTAGCCCCCTGAAAAATATGAGGTCACGCATCAATACCACCTGAATTCAAAATGGGTTTACCTAATTAATTATTGTATTATAAAGAAATAAGGGTTACCAAAAACAAACATGCTGCTGCCATAGACGACAGCTGAATGGTGATATCTGGGAGCAGGAGGAGTTCCAGTGGTGAAGGCTCTGTCGTGAATATCATACAACAGTCAATGAGTCATATTCAACAGCCTGTAGTTCTTTTATTTGCTCATTTAGGTTGCACAAGTATTTTTGCTGCAATCTCACCGACACCATGAGCAGTCCTTCACATCAAAACGGAGCAAGTCGTTCAGCATGTTCTTCCTATTTAGAAAGACAAAATATAAACCCATGTGATGAAGTGAACAGTACATATAAAAGGAGAAATGCTTGCCACTGACAATCTCTACTCACCCATTATCTCCCCCAAACACATAAATGGCATCCCTGTATGCCACAACAGTGTGCTTACTGCGCCTATATAGAACAGAAGAAGTTGAGGGTGAATAACATGCTGAACGTGTGCAGATTAAGCCAGTAAAGTCAGATAAAGCTGCACCTACTCATCTGTCAACATGTTACCTTGCACCAACAAACTCATCACATGGAGGGAGTCTTCTCCAGCGATGAACTGTCTCATAAGGGCCAAAGTTGAGCGTCAGATATTCCACGCTGTCGGAGCAACTGTGGTCGAAATCAACACTCGGGGCCACTTTGGTTGATTTACAGGACATTGTTGCTAACTCATCCGTCTGAATCACTTCTCAGGGCCACTCATCTGCAGGGAAATGCAGAGTTAACGCCATGCTTAAAAGTCACCCGTCCATCATGAGAGATAGTGTTATTGCAATCCTGAATTACCTTTAACATAACACTTAAGTCTGCTTAATAACGTAGAAGGATTATGGTCTTCCGGCTAACAGTTAGCGATGCTACAAACTAACATTAGCCGCATAGCTAGCTTTGTGCTAATCTGTAAAACAAGCAACAGCTAACAGTTACAACAGACGAGAAGACGAGAGCTAACGGATACCAAGGTTACACTAACATGTCTGTCTGACCAGGTTCAACATTAAAGCTAGTATTTATGCGATGTGAATGAGTTCGCAACAAGGCACTAATAGCCACAAAAGCTAACGTTCAACTAGCAAAACAAAAGTGCTGTCATTAAAGAGCACGACCACGCCCCCGAGCGCGAGACGATGAATAATAATAAATACGTCACTTCCTGTCATGGATCTGTAGTTCCAAGCAGAACCCTTTATACACTATGGCAGAACCCTATGCTGAGCTGCAACATAATATAGACAGGACTTTATATGGCTCACCCATAAGTTACGTTTTTGTTTACAGTTTTGGAAGTCTCAAATATGCACTATAAATCCATATCAATAGCGATGTATCACAAAAATAGCTCTCATATCTTATTATTGTGTAACGTTAACTTTATTATACTAGCTTGTACTCCAAAATGGAGATTTGGAACCCCCACTATAACTTTGTCCAAGATAGTCATACTCCCACCAAAATCACACTGGTATTTGCTGTCCCCCTCTAGTTTGTGCACACAAAAGCATGTTACTTTTGGCAGGTGAAAAACTAAAGAGGTGCTTCCACATGTGGCAGACCAGGTGATGTGCTGCCGGATTTGACACCCCCACTATAACTTTGCCCAAGATAGTGGTACTGTCACCAAAATCACACTGGTGTTTGTTTACTGTCCCCCTCTAGTTTGTGCACACAAAAGCATGTTACTCTTGGCAGGTGAAAAACTAAAGAGGTGCTTCCACATGTGGCAGACCAGGTGATGTGCTGCCGGATTTGACACCCCCACTATAACTTTGTCTCACTATAACTCATGTCATGTTCTGTCCTCAATACCTGCGTGCCTGTGTGTGCATAAAGGTACAAATTCACTCAAAATCACATCACAGCAATACGTATAGTTTGGCGTTCATCATTTTATAAACACATTGGTGGTCCAGAGGTCTATGCATAGTTTTTTCATGCAGGTGCTCGAGGTTCAACACCCAGGGGAGGGACATTTTTTGTCTTCTGCTATGCGGATGTTTAATTTGGAAATTTGTCCCCACCACTTTTTCTAACAGGAGTGACGCCCATGTCTGTGCTTATATTTACATCTAGAATCATGTGGGGGCTTTTTCAATCGATCCCCCCAAAATGTCTGCGTGTCTCTGTTTCAGACTGTTCTGCAGGTAAAGTCGATACATTTCGGACTCCCTCTGCTAGCACACTAGCACACCTTTTCCTCCTGTTTTTACTGAGTTAACTAAAGCTCAGTGTGAAATAGCTAACTAATTAAAAAGAAAAAAATATTTCATCTCAAACTGTAGCCATTGTATAATCTTGTCTCTTTAGTTTTTATGCACCACCTGCATGAAAGCTTGCTCGCATTAAATATCAATAGAGTATCGATTAAAATATATCTTACGAAATCACTCCTGCTTGGACTTTTTCACATTTTATTCTTGCAAGAGTAGTTTATTAATGGGTCAAACAATCATCAGCAAGTCCTACTTTTGATTATTATCTGCAACCCAAACTAATTTCAACAGAACTGAACCTCTTACATTTGTTTCCCAAATAGACTCCGGTTTACCTACTTAAGATTTGTTCAGCCTGTACTAAGATGGTGATAGCCATTTACATTTATACACAATGAGGCAACAACACTCTTGCTACTTTATATACATACAGTATTAAGGAGGAAACACTTTATACTATACTCTTGCAATATTGCAATATCACATGTCATTTTCACTTTACTTTTAGGATGCTAAGATTATCATGTATTGCCAAGAGTATTGGGAAGCAGTATGGAGGGAAAAATCAGTAAGTTACAGTACAAGTAACTTATAACTAAATTCATTATCATTACAAAACATGATTCACAAAATATTCAATGCATAAAAATACAGAATAAATGTATATACTGCATATAGATGTGTGTGTGTGTGTGTGTGTGTGTGTGTGTTGGACAGACATTACGAAATAAATTAGTAAAAGAGCACATAACAGGAACAACATTGATGTCATCCTAAATTAAATCCCTTTTACATCTGCAGGGTGTGATAATGTAGTGTAAACACATGTAGCTTAACACTGTGAGTCATGGCCACAGGGCCTTTCTAGAGTAAACATTAACATGGCTGACAATGAATTTTCTTTTGTCTCTCGATGCAGCAACCTTCCAAAACCTCATCAATCTACTTGCAAAGACACCTGGCAAGGCTGACTGATATTAGTGTAAACATTGTGGTATCAGAAGAAAGGATAATTGGCTACAAACCCTGAAGAAGCATGTTTTATAAAGCATAACAGAAATGAACATACATCAGATCCTTTAAAAACTGATAAGCTAAACAAATCTTCAGAAAAAAATTGTCATCTTGATTGCTTACATACTTTCCTATTTATTGATTTCTTTACTCATCAGACCTTTTTTCATGACAGATATTTTGACATGTTGCTGCACGAGATGCACAGGTGTATTAAATATTAATAACGATGGCTACATTTGAGCAGCTCTGGGAATCGTTAAGATTATTAGTTCCACCTGTGTTTTCCTTGAAATGACAAATATAAAGGTCAATCATTCTTTAACTATTTTCTAAAATGATGTCTGATCTTGTCCTCCACAGACACACAAGTGGGTTGTAGTACTTACATTCACTATTTGCACATCTGTGTTTTAGCCCTTCGTGGGATTTCAGTCTATTTGAACTTAAATATGCTAACTTTCGGGGATGCACATCAAATCATTAAAAAAATATTTAGCTCAGAGAGGTAACATTCTTTTTGCCAAACACCCTTAAATAATAGCAGGGATGGCAATATTTATTTCCTTAAAGATATTAACTTTATAGTTCACTTATCCACTCCACTAGAACAATCTGAGAGAAAGAAAATGTACTACAATACCTAACAATACGAGGCCTAATCTGCGAGTAGCAAACAGGTTCAATACTTGTACATTGTAGGTCTACAGTTTCATTTTTAGTTGAGCACCCATCAGGTACATACAGTGCACAATCAAATGAAATTCAAGTCAATGTGAACACATTTCAATAAAATGAGACAAGGATAGAAATGTGTCAGAAACTTCAAACTTTTCATGTTATCATCCACACAGTCAGATTCCTCTTTTTCAAATACAGTCTGTCAGGGTTGAATTGGCCCCTCTCGCTCACATGTCTAGTCACCAGTTGATGATATCTCTGACATGGCCCCAAAGCTTGGTGATCCACAGGTTAACCCCGAGCTCTGTTAAGTACTGAAGCTCTGGCATCAACATCTTTCGGCACAACTTCCGATGTGCCTTGTCCACATTCTTCTTAAGGTTGTAGCCCATGATGGACTTCTCTCCGATGGGCTGCCAGGGCTGCATGGCTGTCTCCTGGATGCTGCCTGCTTCTACAGCTCGCCCCCCCTCGATGCAGATGGATGCCATCTCTGCGTTCCTTCTCCTGAGCTCTGCCACATCCTCAGCCATCCGCTGCCGTCCATACGCATCTACTTTCTTCCAAAAAGTCTGGTTGAGATGCTGGTATAGTTTCCAGTCAATAGCGTTCCACTCAAGAGCCTTGGCCCTCAATTCTGGGGTGAGTTTAGACACAGTGGATCCCTTACGGGCATTGAGCTTGAAGAAGAGCACGTCGTCCATCTCCCAGCAGAGGGCATCCTTAAGCAGGATGAGTGATTCCTCAAAGTGCTCCACTAACATGACGAGCTGGAAACGGTCCGTGATGAATCTGATTCCCTGTTCTACACGTGGATCATCCAGCTTCAGAGTGTTGTCCAGTCCAAAGTCGAAAAAAAGAAGATTCTTGAGGTAAAAGGAGTTGAAGCCCTCAGGGTCAAAGTAGTGATGGGGCTCACGCAGAAACTCTGTCAGCTTCTCATCACCTGGTATCTTCCAGGTGAAAGGTACCAGCTTGCCAAAGTAGTGGAAGGAGGACTCAAAAAGCTCTGCAGGGTCTCGCAGGATAGTGATGTAGGAGGTGTCCATAGGTAACAGCTTGGCCACCTCGGGTGCGTTAAAACGCAAGTGATTACAGATAATATTAAAGCACATTCCAGGTCTGTAGTCTTTAACCTGGGAACGCTGAAAAACAGACGGATAAAAGAAGTCATTTCTGCTGTCAGGGAAGGCAAATTTGAGCCGGTGCTTTTCCCCGAAGCGGAAAAGGATGTTGAGGAACGTGCTGCTGGCTGTTTTGTGGGTCTTCATGAACATGATGTCCACTTTAGGAGTGCAGGTCTGGCCAGAGGCTTGTTGTGAGCGGTTGGTGGTTTGTTTCGAACGGAGCTGGGATGGACGGTGGGCACAGGAGTAAGGCACTGGTACCCTGCAGACAGGAAAACAATCAAATGATAAATGTGATGATAATGATGTGGAAATGTACTCTTACACAATACAAAGAAAAGCGGCAAACCACCACATTTGAGACGTTGGAGTAAAACATTTTTACATTTTTGGCTAGATTGACTGAAATGCCCTAAATACTCTGAAAAAAATGCTTTTGAGTAACACATAGGACAAGACACAATATACACATATGTGACTCAAAATAATAAAAATAATCTAAAGAGTAAGAGTAAACCTACATATAAAATAACTTATCGAACTTAAACTTACTTAAAATTAACCTTTAAAAAAAAACATACATTATAATTACTAATTGTCACAGCTCTAAAATCCAAATGCTGAATAAATTGGACATAACGATATTTTTTACATCATGTTTTCTAGAGAATACATGAACACCAGTGTGACGAGTCTTACTCAGGCAGACTGAAGTGGGTCTGGGGAGTGGAGAGGCAGTAAAGCAGGATCATGCAGCTGGTGAGGAGGGTCCCCAGCACCAGGCCTTTGCACACGGACCTCCACTGCCGCCCTTGTCTGACAGCCATGGTCCAGCAGAATCAGGATGACCTTTAAAACATTAAAACATCATCTACACAGTGAACATTGACCTATAGGCCCACAGTTACTCTGAGAAGGACACAAGAAAACCACAATTATGTGCATTATGTAATCTCGGGCAAGCTTGAAAGGACACAGTGACACCGTTTAAATGATTTATTCAGATGGCGACTTGGAAGTAAATTATAGTGTTGAGTGACCATATAGATTACTATCTTTGTTCTCTGGTTTCTTAAGGAGACAAAATAACATGAGGCCAGATTAATTATAAATCCAATGGTATAGCCTAAAATGTAATATAGAAGGTTTCCATTCAGCTTTATGGTGATTTAAGTATTCTGTTATACAGTACAGTGCTGTCATCAGGTGGACTATACTGTATGTTAAGGTGCTCATGAATATTTACCAACAGGAAGCTAGATTCTCAGTGTGTGTGACACAGTTGGACAGTTAGCCTCATTCCACTTCACTGTCCACTTCATAAACATTTCAAACACAGGATGTACTTAAAATTGCAAGGTGAGCTACAATATGACATACTGTATGTGCGGCCTGTAATGACCAACCCTTTGTTGCTCAGCTGTCACATGAAATAAATAATACATTACAGTGGAAAGTGATATTGCAATCCCCCCCTGCGGACTGCCGTCAGACAAGCTATCCGCTGACTCAGCTGCGCAGGTAACAAAGTGACACTGACCACCAAGAAGTTTCATTATTATTTGACCTAATGTGACCCCACACAGAGCAGGTTGGGAAGGTGTACTGTTTTCAATTGCAAAGTTTAGAGTTTATCAATATTTCTTTTTGAATGGCTTATGTTAACATTTTTAAGGGAAAATCAGTTAAAGCTTAGTTTTTTCAGAATTTAAACATTGTGCATTTTTTTCGTTTTTCTTGCCATTTCTAGGCATATGTCTGGGTTTAGAGCTGTGCATGTTGCCCATCATATGTTATGGTGTTTTAGACAGGTTTCTTTTTTAGGAAAGTAACAGTTACTAAAATCAAAAAATGTCATCCATGATCACGCTTGTTAATGACACACCAAAGTGTTAATGAATCGATAATAGATTATAACTATGATAGGCTTTTGACCTTTTGAAATATCCATCCTTAATCCCAGTCTAGTCTTAAGTATGGAGTCTATTTTTGGTGTCCAGTGTGTCATTTATTATTTATTTCTGAACTTAGTTCACCTTTGGTTTAAGGTCTCAAGCTTCCATGTCGTTTTGCATTACTCTGTGCCCCTTAGTCCTATGAACTGTAGAGTTACATTTTAGTTTCACTCTTATCATCAGAGCATTTTAGAAACATTACTCTCCAAACACAGCTAAAAGGGCTATTTCTGCTCTTTGTCTGGACTCCATGAAGGGAGGCATGTGAGAGCTCTTTCTCTCTGCCATCAGAAGACACTCTGTTATGAGACATTTGAGGAAAGGGCCATAGCTTAGGTGGCCTGCAAATGTAGAGTGAATTCTAAGTAACATTAACTCCTGCTGTAATGATATGTTTGCAATAACCTTCAAAGCTGAGATACCATTGGACAAATATCAGGCAGTGTTAATTTTGATATCAGTGCATCATTGTTTGCTTACTTTTGTATTTTTACTTGAATACTTTGTCCACCTCTGATATGATCTGAAGCCATTGAGTATAATCAAGCAGTGACCATTATGAGTATAACAAAGCAGATGATAATCTTGAAGAAAGCTAATAACAAACAAAAGACTGGAAGATGTCTTACCTTCATACATAGATCCAAAGAGAAACTAAAGGAAGTGTTTGTCCCACTGCATTGTCCTTTTCCTTTGCATCCAGGGTCAGACCACTAATATATGATCTCCCTCCTCCAGATGTACTTCTTAAGTCTGATCTCAACATACACATAGTGCTGTGGCAGTCCCGCACTCCCCTTATCATTTGCCCAGTGCTACTGAGCTCATTCACCTGCTTCTCTTCTCCGCTTTCCCCGTGCCTCTCTGCATGAACACCTGATGCCTCGGGCCACCTGCCGCCTCCCCCTTCAACTTTCAATTCTAAAAAGTGATCTTGCTGAATTAAGCTCTGCAGGGAGGCTCATCTCCCGCTTGTGACGTCAAGGCCTCTGTCAGGGGACCAGCACTTGCCAGTGAGTGTAATAATGGAGGGGAGGGGAGGGAGGAGAAAGGCTGTATTGTCCCCATTCTCTGTCTACATACAGAGGGCTTATTGAGGATAGACACTGAAGTCTGAGCTGCAAGCTGATAGGTGGGATGGTAAACAGCATAAAAACGAACAAATGCATAAAGCCAAAGCACAAAGGCTCTAATTGTACCACTTGATCAGTACAACTCGTGTCTGTATTGTTTATAAAGCTTATTAAGAAAGCTGTGTCTATACATGCTGTGAGAGGAATGTACAATGGACAGTTATGAAAGTCTGCACCACAGATTAACCAATTATCTAAACAAACTGAGCAACATACACACACTGGATTTCCACATCACAATACTGTGTATGTGATTATTTTTTAAAATAATTTATTAACTAGCTCTTCTAATCTTTTATGCATTTTAAGTTCTTTTTAACTCTGTGGCCTACAAGTTATGATGCGATCGTTTTGAAACTCTCAATACAATCCCTTGTTCAAGATAGCAGACCGTTCAATAGACAGTGAAATGAACATTCAATCATGAGTGCCAAGTCTATTTGGCTCTGCTAGGCAGGATGTGGCAGTATGTGGTCATAACGTTTCATCCATTAAAGTGTGGATCCAAGTCTCGGGAGCGTGCAATGGATTCGTGCAGCTCATCCCACACTCACCATGCTCCAGCACGACACTGATGCTTTTGTTCGGCCTAACAGGGTGTGCCTTGGTCTGCAGGCACACTGAGTGCCAGGCTGAAACCCGGACTGGGTGGGCATGCGTGGAATTTAGATCAGGGTGAGAGGGGGCAGGGAGTGTGACAAGCCGAATGAGGAGATTGAGGAGAACGGCCCACCTTGATCACTGCAGCGTCTCAAGAGGGCAGAGGTTAAAGCTCTTTTGTCATCAACACCCACTGCCCATGTGTGGACAACTCACTGAAGACGAGCCCCCCCCGACAGCAGCAGTGACCTCAGCCTCCACACAGATGTGGCTAAGGGACATTCTGTATCTGACATTTTGAGTAGGCTCTCCTTTGATCCAAAAACAGCCGTTTGTAGTTACAACCCCAGGTAACTCATCTGCTAGTTAAGAGACTGAAGGCTCTACTATTTATCAGTTTCTACATCTTCAGTAGACTCGACTACTGTAATGGTGTCTTTACAGGTCTCACTAAACAATCTATTAGAAAGCTGCAGTTAATTCAGAACGCCGCTGCTCGAGTCCTTACTAACACTAAGAAAGTGGATCACATCACTCCTGTTCTGAAGTCTTTACACTGGCTTCCTGTGTGTCAAAGAATAGATTACAAAATATTGTTGCTGGTTTATAAAGCTTTGAATGGTTTAGGCCCAAAATACATGTCTGACCTACTGCTAAATTATGAACCATCCAGATCTCTCAGGTCTTCAGGGACTGGTCAGCTTTCTGTCCCCAGAGTCAGAACTAAACATGGAGAAGCAGCGTTCAGTTATTATGCTCCAAATATCTGGAACAAACTCCCAGAAACCTGCAGGTCCGCTGCAACTCTTACTACTTTTAAATCCAGGCTGAAGATTTTTCTTTTTGCCGCTGCTTTTAATTGAATTATTCATCTTAAAATGCACTGTAACTTTTATTCATGTATTTTTTCTTTTAATCTTTGCTTTTTAATGACTGTTTTTAAATGCCATTTTCTTAAAGGTCCCATGACATGGCCATTTCTACTGATCATAATTCCATTGTTGAGGTCTACTAGAATAGATTGACATTGTGCAATTTTCCAAACTCACATTGGTTTCTCATACAGCATCTCTGTATAGTATGTGTATTCATTCTCTGTCCTAAACAGCTTGTTGGAGCTCCTGCCCCCACCTCCCTGTGAGCCCAGTGTGCTCTGGTCAGCTCGCCCACTCTGTTCTGATTAGTCCACCACCGTTACAGCGGAACATCAGTGATGTGTTATAATGGCTTTAGCAACCAGAAAAGGACACCAGTAATGACAAACAGATGAGAATGCTGCGTGGGGTGTGGGTGCCGTGTTCTCGACGTTGCGAGGCTCGCTGCTGCGAGGAGCGGACAGTGTGAACTGGCTTACTGGTGTGGTTTCCTGGTTGCTGTGTGGGGTCGGCGAGACACAGCGAAACCCAGCCCGAGCACACACACACACCCGCCTCCTCAGGCTAAGAAATCCACGGAGCTGCAGCTGAGAAATGATTTAGCGTGAGGAAGTCTGCAGATTGGTCAACGTAACGGCTCTGCGGATTGGTCCATTTTCAAAGTGGAGATTTTTCATTTTTTTTCTTCCTGGGTATGGTGACGTAACCATACCCAGGAAGAAAACAAATGGAAAATGAAAAATCTCCACTTTGAATTGCCTTGTGTTGAAAGGTGCTATATAAAAAAACTTGCATCAATTATTTTCTTCCTCTCATGTCTATATTTCTCCCACCTGAGACGCGAGCAGAGGAGGTAAGGCGTGGCTTCATATATTCGAGCACTGTGTCTTCACTCTTCTACATCAGAGCTGTTAAGGCTACCAAAGAGTGCACAAGGCCATTCTCACTGAGTTGCTCAAGTAAGACACTATAAAGAAGATGAAGCACAAAATACACTTCAGAGCCTTAACTGGTCAGCATAGTAATACTTGGGGAACACACCACTTAACAGTTAGAGACCTCATTTAAGATCACAAGTAACAGGCTTTTTAATTTGTGTGTTTACTTTAAAATAAAGACCATTTACATGAACAGCTTTAACAACTAAGTGGAAGAAATATCTCGTGTAATGTAAAACAGTTCTTACAAACAAAAGGCAAAAAGTCACTTTTACATTATTAATAACACAATGAGCATATGCCACATCCTGCATTTCTTCTTGAACTTGAAGGTCAACGCACACACATCAGGTGCATCAAACTCTCACACACAGGATTACAGGTAATACAGGAAATCTCAACCTGTAATACACTCTGCCTCAAGAATGTAAATACACAAAGTCAATCTGCTAAATACATAATCAGACGATTCATTTGTTGGCCTTTGTCTTCTTCTTTGATTTTTCAGCATCATCGTGGGCCTTCCTCTTGGCAGTCAGCTTGTTAGCCTGGAAGAGAAAGAGATTTAGACTCAAACTCGAATATACTCTGCACACTAGACTAATGTTAAGAGTCAGATACTGAAAGGATCCAAAGTTATTTCCATACATATTAAATGAATAATAAAAACTGAACATACCTCTCGGACTTTTCTCTTTTTTCCAAACATGATCTTGTCGTACAGGTACTTTTCCTTTTTCTTCATCATCATGATGGCGAGACGTTTTTCCTCGGCCTTCTCCTCCTGCTCCAAGCGCTCTGGGTTTTCCACCTTCACTTTTCCAGCTGTCACTTTGACCGACAGGTTCTAAAAGACAGAGACGAGTTGATGAAACACCACGCCTTAGTGTACCCGGGAAAATACACGAGTTCAAAGGAAAAGAGGTCAAACGTCTCTTACCTTTCCCTGGGATCTTTGTTTCTCCATCTTCTTCAGATTATTCTCTTCTTCTTCCTCTTCTTCATCTTCCTCTTCTTCTTCTTCTTCTTCGTCGTCATCCTCCTCCTCCTCCTCTTCCTCCTCCTCTTCCTGGGCTGTGATGGAAGTTAAATATGTGAATGATGTGTCCATGGACTCTGAATTATTATGCATCCTTTTTAGGCTTAAAGGTGGGGTAGGTAATTTTGGAGAAACCAGCTCGAGATCGCTAGAATTTGAAAATACACAACCGGAAGAAATCTGCCACTTCCTTACAGAGCCCCTCCTCCAACACACACGAACGCGCACATGACCAATGAGGGCACGAGATAAGTTTGTGCACAGATGGAAGGCTGACAGGCAGGTAGGCCATCCAGTTATTTTAGCCGGGCCGGCTAAAATGATTGGTCGTGCTTTTTACAGTACTACGGCTTCCACAGATGACATTTTTTTATGGATTTTTTGTCAAAGCACTTAAGATATTCATTGCTATCGGGATGTTAAGAGCATTCCATGGAATATAACAAAAAGTGTATCTCAAGCCGGTTTCTCAAACTTACCTACCCCACCTTTAATGATCTGATCAATAGAAACTCTTATTCCTAATCAAACACATTGAACCTAAAATGTCACCTAGTTTATGAAAGATGCAGTCACCTGTGTGTGATCACAGTGTGACTGCTGATTGGGAGTTCATTACACTGACATCCTGATTAAAAATCACTGGGATTCAATACAAATATATTTATAAGTATGGTATTGAAGAGAAATTACCAGGTTTTTCTCCTCGTTGTAACGCCATGATCTTGAGTTTTTCAGGGGGCACGTAGTCTCCGTCCTTCTCCTCAACGAAGGGAGAGAGGTGAGGCGGCAGAGTCACTCCAAGGAAGTAGTCCTCCACAGGCAGGACGATTTTGGAATTGACACAATCGAACACCCACTGGGGCTGGATGTAGTACCTAAAAACAAAGTATCATAGTAAAACAGCATGCCATGTTTTCAGAAATTGTGAGGACTTTCCCTTTCTGCTTTAAAAAAAGACATAAGGGGGGGGGGGGCAGGCATGACAGAAACAACAATGTGACCCTTTAAAAACACGAGGACGAAGGTTGTTTTGAGGAAGCAGCGGAAACATGACCCTGAAAGGAGCCATTGTGGAGGACATGGCCGTGTACAGAATAGACTTCGCGTATTTAGCATTCAGAAATACACAGAATCAAATTGGTTGCACAAAAACATGTGTGTGTTCCACGTTAAAAATAAAAAAAATGTATTGACTTTGAAACATAGACGTGTGTTCGATCCACCATTAATTTACCTGTTAATATACTGTTTGTCAATGTTGGGTCTGTCAACAACTTGATGCGTGATGCTCTCATCCGTCACCTCGTACGTGCTGCCGATGCAAACAGACTTGTCCCAGGACAC